AATGTGGGGGCCCCAGGTTAACTATTTGTCAAATTTTACTCCTAAATATGTGGGGTTTTCCTCTTTTGGAAAGATGTTGCCTTTTAGGTATAGATCAACTTGTTCTCGCTTTGTAGAAAGAGAGAAGAGAGTTGAGGCGGTTTTGGTCTGGTTTATTGTGACTCCCCAAGAGTCTGTCCATTTCCTAACTGTAATTGTATCTTCTTGCATTCTTGTTTTAGTTGTTCCTATATGTTCAGCTTGGATCCATATGGCCAGGTCATCTGTTCCTATATGTTCAGCTTGGATCCATATGGCCAGGTCATCTGTTCCTATATGTTCAGCTTGGGTAAATATGGTCAGGTCATCTGTTCCTATATGTTCAGCTTGGATCCATATGGCCAGGTCATCTGTTACTATATGTTCAGCTTGGATCTATATGGCCAGGTCATCTGTTCCTATATGTTCAGCTTGGGTAAATATGGTCAGGTCATCTGTTCCTATATGTTCAGCTTGGATCCATATGGCCAGGTCATCTGTTCCTATATGTTCAGCTTGGATCCATATAGCCAGGTCATCTGTTCCTATATGTTCAGCTTGGATCCATATGGCCAGGTCATCTGTTCCTATATGTTCAGCTTGAATCCATATGGCCAGGTCATCTGTTCCTATATGTTCAGCTTGGGTCCACATGGCCAGGTCATCTGTTCCTATATATTCAGCTTGGATCCATATGGCCAGGTCATCTGTTTCTATATGTTCAGCTTGGGTCCATGTGGCCAGGTCATCTGTTCTATATGTTCAGCAGTGGGTCCATATGGCCAGGTCATCTGTTCCTTTATGTTCAGTTGGGTCCATATGGCCAGGTCATCTGTTCCTATATGTTCAGCTGTGGGTCCATATGGCCAGGTCATCTGCATGTTGGGCCTTGTGAATGTGAGTCGTGAACTGTTTTGGGAGGTCATTAACAAAAAGAATGGTAGGAGATATAACGCCTTCCTGGGGGCCGCTTTTTGTAACCTGACCAGCTTGCTCTTGTGTTCTTCCAGTCTGACTCACACAGCGAGAGAGATATGAGTAACATTAAAGTAAATATTTACAAACAAGCTGCAGACTTCTATTCTGCTAGAGACATGTTTTTGAGATGTATAAAATAGTAAATGTCAGAAACTCTGCAGAAACATTTCCTTCTGATAAAAGTGACAAGTCAAGTCAACTCTAAGACAACTGCCCATTACCTAAATGAAGATAATGGCTGAACAGATTATCTGCAACACAAATACAATCATGGTGGAGTTGTCACATTTTGTTGACAAAACTGTCATGGCAATAGTTTTCATGAAACAACAGATGCACACAATAAGGTGAGATTCCGGTGGTATCAGTCATTCTGTGACATAAAATTAATTTAATCATGACATCAGATAACTGGCCAGCATGCTTGCACAATTAGCATATTTGAATAATGAACAATTGGCATAAAAGCATTCCAGGCCAGCCTACAGATTGTCTACTTCCGGTAGCAAACATTACAGAGACAGGTGTCAGTATAAATGATGATCATTCTAGTCATACATACACTGGTTACCAAACTTCCGGTAGCAAACATTACAGAGACAGGTATCAGTATAAATGATGATCATTCTAGTCATACATACACTGGTTACCAAACTTCTGGTAGCAAACATTACAGAGACAGGTATCATTATAAATGCCTAGTCATACATACACTGGTTACCAAACTTCCGGTAGCAAACATTACAGAGACAGGTATCATTATAAATGCCTAGTCATACATACACTGGTTACCAAACTTCAGGTAGCAAACATTACAGAGACAGGTATCATTATAAGTGATGATCATTCTAGTCATACATACACTGGTTACCAAACTTGCGGTAGCAAACATTACAGAGACAGGTATAATTATAAATGATGATCATTCTAGTCATACATACTTTGGTTACCAAACACCCAGATTCATGCCCACATATTTCCTTCTCTGTCACATTTCAAGTTCCAGGCTTAATCATCCTTAACTAGGATTTTCCCCCTGTTATTGTCTTCAGCTAGCAGTCATTCAGGCAGAGGTTAAAACTGTTTTGTCCATGAGTGCATTTAAATTAATAGTGCTCATGAAGCCTACAGTTGCAAGTCCTTGAAGATATAGAGTTGTGAGTGTCTAAGCTGAATCCCCAATCATATTACATCTGCCTCGTCCATTGTGAAGTTTACAGAGAGAGAATCTGCTCTAGTGACTGAAGTATGAGCTAGCCACGCAAAGTAAGCCTAACAGATTCAGCAATGACTTACAGTTAACTGACGCTGAGAATCCCTAGCAGACTTCTTTCCATGGTGCAGAGAACTGTCAGTAGACTTCTTCCTATGGTGCAGAGAACTGTCAGCAGAATTCTTCCTATGGTGCAGAGAACTGTCAGCAGTCTTCTTCCCATGGTGCAGAGAACTGTCAGCAGTCTTCTTCCCATGGTGCAGAGAACTTTCAGCAGACGTCTTCCTATGGTGCAGAGAACTTTCAGCAAACTTCTTCCCATGGTGCAGAGAAATTTCAGCAGACTTCTTCCTATAGTACAAAGAACTGTCAGCAGTCTTCTTCCCATGGTGCAGAGAACTTTCAGCAGACTTCTTCCTATGGTGCAGAAAACTTTCAGCAGACTTCTTCCTATGGTACGAAGAACTGTCAGCAGTCTTCTTCCCATGGTGCAGAGAACTGTCAGCAGTCTTCTTCCCATGGTACAGAGAACTGTCAGCAGTCTTCTTCCCATGGTGCAGAGAACTGTCAGCAGTCTTCTTCCCATGGTGCAGAGAACTGTCAGCAGTCTTCTTCCCATGGTGCAGAGAACTGTCAGCAGACTTCTTCCTATGGTGCAGAGAACTGTCAGCAGTCTTCTTCCCATGGTGCAGAGAACTGTCAGCAGACTTCTTCCTATGGTGCAGAGAACTGTCAGCAGTCTTCTTCCCATGGTGCAGAGAACTTTCAGCAGTCTTCTTCCCATGGTGCAGAGAACTGTCAGTAGACTTCTTCTTATGGTGCAGAGAACTTTCAGTAGACTTCTTTCTATGGTGCAGAGAACTGTCAGCAGTCTTCTTCCCATGGTGCAGAGAACTTTGAGTGAACTCTACAACTGTTCCTTCTGTTGTTTTCATTGATCATTTGTGAAATTTCCAGTTGAGATTATTTCACTTTGGCCAGTGAATTGATGACTTTATGAAAGCTGCTTTTGTCTGCCATTGTCAACACTACTTGCTCTACGTGTATTTTGCTTCATTGTGACAGTCCATCAAATGGCACTTATGTCTGCAACATTGATGATCTTCTGCTGTATATTCAGTTTTCTTTAACCCTTTCAACACGGTGAACTTGGAAACAAAACATTGCCAAAATCCTGTATCTTGGGAATTCTCAAACAAATAACAAAAAAAACAAAAAAAAAAAAGGTGTGACACATCACCCACAAAAAACCCTCTCAATGTTGTTTTTGGTAAAAATAATCATACAAGCCGGCAATATGGCTTATGAGAAAATGGCACAAACTAGGTTTGAAGCAGGGGTTTGTCACAGCAACAGTGTTAAGATCATACAAGCTACAATGCTGTGAGTGTGTCACAGCAACAGGGTTTAGATCATACAAGCTACAATGCTGCGAGTGTGTCACAGCAACAGCGTTAAGATCATACAAGCTACAATGCTGTGAGTGTGTCACAGCAACAGCGTTAAGATCATACAAGCTACAATGCTGTGAGTGTGTCACAGCAACAGCGTTAAGATCATACAAGCTACAATGCTGTGAGTGTGTCACAGCAACAGGGTTAAGATCATACAAGCTACAATGCTGTGAGTGTGTCACAGCAACAGGGTTAAGATCATACAAGCTACAATGCTGTGAGTGTGTCACAGCAACAGCGTTAAGATCATACAAGCTACAATGCTGTGAGTGTGTCACAGCAACAGCGTTAAGATCATACAAGCTACAATGCTGTGAGTGTGTCACAGCAACAGGGTTAAGATCATACAAGCTACAATGCTGTGAGTGTGTCACAGCAACAGGGTTAAGATCATACAAGCTACAATGCTGTGAGTGTGTCACAGCAACAGCGTTAAGATCATACAAGCTACAATGCTGTGAGTGTGTCACAGCAACAGCGTTAAGATCATACAAGCTACAATGCTGTGAGTGTGTCACAGCAACAGGGTTAAGATCATACAAGCTACAATGCTGTGAGTGTGTCACAGCAACAGCGTTAAGATCATACAAGCTACAATGCTGTGAGTGTGTCACAGCAACAGGGTTAAGATCATACAAGCTACAATGCTGTGAGTGTGTCACAGCAACAGCGTTAAGATCATACAAGCTACAATGCTGTGAGTGTGTCACAGCAACAGCGTTAAGATCATACAAGCTACAATGCTGTGAGTGTGTCACAGCAACAGCGTTAAGATCATACAAGCTACAATGCTGTGAGTGTGTCACAGCAACAGCGTTAAGATCATACAAGCTACAATGCTGTGAGTGTGTCACAGCAACAGCGTTAAGATCATACAAGCTACAATGCTGTGAGTGTGTCACAGCAACAGCGTTAAGATCATACAAGCTACAATGCTGTGAGTGTGTCACAGCAACAGCGTTAAGATCATACAAGCTACAATGCTGTGAGTGTGTCACAGCAACAGCGTTAAGATCATACAAGCTACAATGCTGTGAGTGTGTCACAGCAACAGCGTTAAGATCATACAAGCTACAATGCTGTGAGTGTGTCACAGCAACAGCGTTAAGATCATACAAGCTACAATGCTGTGAGTGTGTCACAGCAACAGCGTTAAGATCATACAAGCTACAATGCTGCGAGTGTGTCACAGCAACAGTGTTAAGATCATACAAGCTACAATGCTGCGTGTCATCACTGGTGACTTGCAGGTCGACTTCATCAACAGAAACCCAAGCAGAGAGGTCTAAATAAGAGAAAACACAAAACATCAAGGTTATACTAATTATACTTACCCACTAAAAAGATCCATTTACTTTTTTATTACGTCCTCTTTTGCGAGTGACTGCACTAGCACGGACTACAGAAATCTCTTGTAGGACTCCCTTGCTACGGGTTTCATCCACAGAGTTGCCTTTGTCATCAAGAGCCTGGGTAACCTTGCAGTTGACAGCCTCCACTAGACAGAGGTAAAGACGAATAATGATAATCTCTAGTGATAAATGTTCTGTTTCTCATGTGCAACATGTTATTTCTCAAGATCTCAACCTCTGTAGAACGCCTCTGATTTTATCAATTAATGCAAGTAAGTTTTAAGGACATTTTATAACCACTTGACTGAGAGGCACCACCTGACTGAGAGGCAGTGGTGCCAAATTATTATAATGACCAGGGGTTGAAGCTTAGACAAAATGTCTGTATCTAACCAAACCCTCTTTTCCCCTTCAAGATGTAGTAGAGGGGCTAGAGTGTTCCAATGACCTTAAGAGCTAAACCATTGGTATCCATATGGTGATAATCTCGTGGAACCCCGTCAGGCAGAGATAGTGCTGGGCCCCTTGCCTCGAAGGGATCCACCCAACACTAGCGGTGGGCACCTACCCCCTGTGCTGTGGGGTCTAGGCAAAGGGCATCAGGGTAAAAACTACTAAACAAACACCCAGGACACTCAACATATTACGGAGGAACGTTGAAGGAGTCTTAAATTTTAAAAAAAAAAAATGTCTTTAGCAAACTAATTTTATGAAGACAAAATTGACATAGCATGTCTCCAAGAGACACACCTCAATGCCCACCTTTATGAAGACAAAATTGACATAGCATGTCTCCAAGAGACACACCTCAATGCCCATCACAGATTTTCTGTCAGAGGATAATATACTATGACCAAGAAGTGGAAGGGCACAAGGGAGGAGTTCTAGTACTTATTTAAAACACAATACCAAACAGTCAAGTACAGTAAACTCAAATAACGAGTCAGAAATGATAGGCGTTGATATGGTGATAAAGGAGGAGACAATATACAATTTATATAGCCTAGCAGACAAAGATCTTGTACTTTCAAGAATGGAAATAAATGACACAAACTGCATTGTAGTTGGAGACTTTAGTAGTCGCTCAGAAAGATGTGGACAGCCAGATACTGACACCAGAGGAGACGAAATGGAGGACAATTTATCCAACAAACCCAGGTTCTACGCTAGAAATTGGTGTAACACTTCCACTCCTGACTTAGCCTTCTGCAAGGGGTATGGGGAGGGGGGTGGTTTTTATGAGGAGACAAACTTGAAATCTGAGTGACAACAGTTTGAAATCTGAGTGACAACAGTTTGAAATCTGAGTGACAACAGAAGTGGACAAACAATCAAAACATTCCGCTGGAGTATACAGCCGGTGAACACAAAAGTCAAAGAAAAAGTGGACAACAATGAACATCACAGTCAATAACAACTTTACAAAACATTTTTTTCTATCCTGGACAAGCACAAAAATATGGCAAAAATGATACAGATTTTTAAAAAAAGGAATGGCCAAAAAATATTCTCAACATGCGAAAATATTTTATATTTAGAAATATAAACAACACATTTAAAATGAGAATAATCAAATGTTACGTATACTCAACCCTACTGTACGCTGTGGATGACTGGACAATGAAAAAGTAACAAGAAAATTGCACTGATCTCTGGAGATATTGACACACAGAAGAATAGGCCTAGTTTTATGGAAACAAAAACAACCGAAATGAGAGGTTCTGAAGAGACTAGTAACGAAAGAGGGATGATAAAAGAAAACCAAAATATTTTGGCAAAATTAAATACCTAACAGTTTTAAAACTATACTGTGTGGGAATAAATGAACGAATAAAAAACAAACTTTATTTTCAAAGGGTTGAGAACTGGGCCCATAGGCCAGCCTACCATTTTGCGCTTCATGGAAAGTTGAAGAAGGCAAGCAAGCAAAAGGCAGACAGCAATGCAATTGGGAAGATTACATTGAGAGATGGATAAAAAGCAAAGCGGTGTCAGAGAGTGTACATACAGGGCAAAAGAGATTGCTGGAGATCCAATGCAGTCAACCTTCGTTGAGGAGATGACACCTGACTTTTTGATTACAACTAACAAAAATTGCTAAAACACTTATAGAAGAAGAGAAGGCATCATGTTTACTTTCACTACAAATCCACATGTCAACTGGCCAGGTCAAGATGGCCAATCCTCAATGTGCCAGTCAGACTTATGGGTGTGTAGATGGCTGAAAACACAAAATCTGGCCAAGGAAGTTCTGGGGGAGGACAAGAGGGCTGCAAAAACTGTTTAGAATTCAGTTCAAGGTCCTTTCTGGCTTGCTTTGTTGAACTGCTACTGCAGTTCTAGCTGCCCCACAGATCACTGCTGTCCAATGAAGAGATGAGCACCAAGATGAATGAATGGCTGAGTGCAACAACTGCCCAGATATGGTGATCAATTTCAAATGCTTGTAACAAGACTTCTGGATAGTCCTAGAACATTCCTTCTATCCACCACAGAATATTCTGTTTGGCAGTCAGTGGTCTGACTGGGAGACTAGAAGACCTGCCGGTGAAGCTGGGGTTGCTTCAGAATTATGTGGCTGCTGGACAGGCCGGCTCTGTCAAGGAGGAGAGAAATTTCTGTCTTGCTATTTGTTGTTTAGTCGCTACTTAAGAAATACTTTGTGGAAGCATAGATCCTTCTCTGCCTTTGCCTCTTGCCTAGTCACAATACACATTTCTCTATAATGCCCTTTCTCCTGATACATACTATAAATTTCATTTGTCTTTTCTTTACTGTTATAAGTAATTTTATTATTTCTGCAATCACAATATCTCAGTATTTTATTTTCTTCTCTGTCCATCAAATCTTCAGCAGGCTCCTCAAAAGCCAAGTCTGTGCTGTCACCAATGTTCTCACTTTGTAGATCACCTGCCCCCAACAAGCATGCTGTAGAAGTGGTGTTTCCCTCCAAGTCAGAGTGTATCTGCCTGTGAGGCAAGCAACATACAGTCTGTAGAAGTGGTGTTTCCCTCCAAGTCAGAGTGTATCTGTCTGTGAAGCAAGCCATCAACAGTCTGTAGAAGTGGTGTTTCCCTCCAAGTCAGTATCTGTCTGTGAGGCAAGTCACCAACAGTCTGTAGAAGTGGTGTTTCTCTCCAAGTCAGAGTGTATCTGTCTGTGAGGCAAGCAACCAACAGTCTGTAGAAGTGGTGTTTCTCTCCAAGTCAGTATCTGTCTGTGAGGCAAGTCACCAACAGTCTGTAGAAGTGGTGTTTCTCTCCAAGTCAGAGTGTATCTGTCTGTGAGGCAAGCAACCAACAGTCTGTAGAAGTGATGTTTCCCTCCAAGTCAGTATCTACCTGTGAGGCAAGCAACCAACAGTCTGTAGAAGTGGTGTTTCCCTCCAAGTCAGAGTGTATCTGTCTGTGAGGCAAGCAACCAACAGTCTGTAGAAGTGGTGTTTCCCTCCAAGTCAGAGTGTATCTACCTGTGAGGCAAGTCACCAACAGTCTATAGAAGTGGTGTTTCCCTCCAAGTCAGAGTGTATCTGCCTGAGAGGCAAGCCACCAACAGTCTGTAGAAGTGGTGTTTCCCTCCAAGTCAGAGTGTATCTGCCTGTGAGGCAAGCCACCAACAGTCTGTAGAAGTGGTGTTTCTCTCCAAGTCAGTATCTGCCTGTGAGGCAAGCCACCAACAGTCTGTAGAAGTGGTGTTTCCCTCCAAGTCAGAGTGTATCTGCCTGTGAGGGAAGCAACCAACAGTCTGTAGAAGTGGTGTTTCTCTCCAAGTCAGAGTGTATCTGCCTGTGAGGCAAGCCACCAACAGTCTGTAGAAGTGGTGTTTCTCTCCAAGTCAGAGTGTATCTGCCTGTGAGGCAAGCCACCAACAGTCTGTAGAAGTGGTGTTTCCCTCCAAGTCAGAGTGTATCTGTCTGTGAGGCAAGCAACCAACAGTCTGTAGAAGTGGTGTTTCTCTCCAAGTCAGAGTGTATCTACCTGTGAGGCAAGCAACATACAGTCTGTAGAAGTGGTGTTTCCCTCCAAGTCAGAGTGTATCTGTCTGTGAGGCAAGCAACCAACAGTCTGTAGAAGTGGTGTTTCTCTCCAAGTCAGAGTGTATCTACCTGTGAGGCAAGTCACCAACAGTCTGTAGAAGTGGTGTTTCTCTCCAAGTCAGAGTGTATCTACCTGTGAGGCAAGTCACCAACAGTCTGTAGAAGTGGTGTTTCTCTCCAAGTCAGAGTGTATCTGCCTGTGAGGCAAGCCACCAACAGTCTGTAGAAGTGGTGTTTCCCTCCAAGTCAGAGTGTATCTGTCTGTGAGGCAAGCAACCAACAGTCTGTAGAAGTGGTGTTTCTCTCCAAGTCAGAGTGTATCTGCCTGTGAGGCAAGCCACCAACAGTCTGTAGAAGTGGTGTTTCTCTCCAAGTCAGAGTGTATCTACCTGTGAGGCAAGCAACCAACAGTCTGTAGAAGTGGTGTTTCCCTCCAAGTCAGTATCTACCTGTGAGGCAAGCCACCAACAGTCTGTAGAAGTGGTGTTTCTCTCCAAGTCAGAGTGTATCTGCCTGTGAGGCAAGTCACCAACAGTCTGTAGAAGTGGTGTTTCCCTCCAAGTCAGAGTGTATCTGTCTGTGAGGCAAGTCACCAACAGTCTGAAGAAGTGGTGTTTCCCTCCAAGTCAGAGTGTATCTGCCTGTGAGGCAAGCAACCAACAGTCTGCAAATAAGCCATATCTGTAAAATGGATGTTCATGCAGAATTCATCAAGTTCAGGAACAAGACTAAAGTCAACAAGCAGACAAACAACCAGAACTTTCTGCCAGAGTTTACAGCTGGTGAATGTAAAGAAGAAGTTGAGAAAAACACAAGTTTCCTAAAGCATCAAGGATTCTCTCTGCCCTACATACCTCCTGTCTTACTTGAAGCATCAGTGTCATCCTCGGCAACAGTGTTGGCAGAACCATCATTATGGTCAGGTTCCTTGTCTATGGGGTGTGTGCAGGACACATCAAACTTATGCAAGTGTGTCAAAGAGGTGGAGTCCTATAATAAAGCAAAATAACAGTCTATGCTAAAGTAACTTAACGAAGCAAACACACCAAGAATAAAAAAAAATAATTTAAGTATAAAATGTTCTTCAACAGTCAGATATAGACTCCTCGCAAGCTAACATTACTGGAGTCTCTTTACACTTAGTTACAATGTATCCAGTTTTCAATGACTGAAGAGTCTTACATAAAGGTATTCAGATGTGAATATTGTGTGAGAAGACAATGGTAACTGCTATGTAGCAAGCAGTCATAAGTCAGATTTGTGGGTAATTTATTCAATATATGATAGTTCATATTTAGAGATCAGATATCCATGTGCATAAAAATGACCTACTTTGTTCTATGTAAATGAACCAACCAACCAGAGAGGACAGCCAGCATAAAACATGAAGGCTTGCACAAGACAGTTGCATTTCCCTCAAAACAAAGCCTGGCATGTATTTGTAAGATAAACATGGCCCATGTTACTACGTCTATGCACAAGACAGTTGCATTTCCCTCAAAACAAAGCCTGGCATGTATATGTAAGATAAACATGGCCCATGTTACTACGTCTATGCACAAGACAGTTGCATTTCCCTCAAAACAAAACCTGGCATGTATATATAAGATAAACATGGCCCATGTTACTACGTCTATGCACAAGACAGTTGCATTTCCCTCAAAACAAAACCTGGCGTGTATATGTAAGATAAACATGGCCCATGTTACTACATTTATGTAAGATAAACATGGCCCATGTTACTATGTCTATGTAAGATAAACATGGCCCATGTTACTATGTCTATGTAAGATAAACATGGCCCATGTTACTACGTCTATGTAAGATAAACATGGCCCATGTTACTACGTCTATGTAAAAAATAATTGTAAAAAGATTAAGACCATTAGTAGAAGAACAATTTTCAGAAGCCCAGATGGTTTCAGATGTAACAGAAGCCCAGATGGGTTTCAGATGTAACAGAAGCCCAGATGGGTTTCAGATGTAACAGAAGCCCAGATGGGTTTCAGATGTAACAGAAGCCCAGATGGGTTTCAGATGTAACAGAAGCCCAGATGGGTTTCAGATGTAACAGAAGCCCAGATGGGTTTCAGATGTAACAGAAGCCCAGATGGGTTTCAGATGTAACAGAAGCCCAGATGGGTTTCAGATGTAACAGAAGCCTAAATGGGTTTCAGATGTAACAGAAGCCCAGATTGTTTCAGATGTAACAGAAGCCTAGATGGGTTTCAGATGTAACAGAAGCCCAGATGGTTTCAGATGTAACAGAAGCCCAGATGGTTTCAGATGTAACAGAAGCCCAGATGGGTTTCAGATGTAACAGAAGCCCAGATGGGTTTCAGATGTAACAGAAGCCCAGATGGGTTTCAGATGTAACAGAAGCCCAGATGGTTTCAGATGTAACAGAAGCCCAGATGGGTTTCAGATGTAACAGAAGCCCAGATGGTTTCAGATGTAACAGAAGCCCAGATGGGTTTCAGATGTAACAGAAGCCTAGATGGGTTTCAGATGAAAAAGACACTGCACAGACGCAATATTTACATTAAGACAGTTGATACAAAGAGCAATGAGATTAGACATGCAAAGTTGCATTTACAGGCTAGGAAAAAGCTTTTGACAGAGTGGACAGGAATATATTGTGGGATTGTTAAAGCAGATATGGAATCAGCAAACATCTAACTGAAGCGTATAAGAGCTTATATATATCAAGTAAAAGTTGCATATGAACAAAAGCAGGTACATCGCAACCTTTTGAAGTAAATTCAGGAGTAAGACAAGGATGTGTGCTATCTCCCCTGCTTTTTATAACATACATCAACAGTATGTGCAATGAAGCAGAGAGCTGAGAAAAGGATGATATCTCAGAATTGTTATTTGCAAATGACCAAGAATTAATAGATGAAACAGAAGAGAGCTTACAGAACCATATAGACCAAGTTAATTCCAAGAGTAAGAAATATAATATGAGGATAAGCATTGATAAGACAGAGGCAAGGGTAATAGGTAGACAAGAAGAAACTATATCAATTAAATTAAATAACACAGAAATAAAACAAACTAGCCAGTTTAAATATCTAGGGTCATTTTTCACCTAAGATGGAAGAATGGATAGAAAAATCAACATAAAATGTGCGAAAGCAAATCAGGTTATGGGACAATTAACACCGCTACTGACGCATAGAAAGATACCTCTGTCAACCAAAGCAAATCTCATAAGAATGTTTTTTTTTTTTTGGTACGACACTGTGCTACCAGTGCCAAACGTCATTGTGTTGATGCCAAAAGAATTGAGAGCAGTCTTCAGAATGTCCTTATAGAGCTTTTTCTGTCCTCCCTGGCACCTCTTTCCTGGCACCTCCTCCCTGGCACCTCTTACCTTGCTGGAGCTCGCCATAAAATACTCTCTTGATAGCTGGATGAAAGTGACTTGCGCAAGGACTTTGATTTGAGTGAGGAAGAGTTGAGCAATTCGTCGACCTCACTCTCTCACCTTGATCCAATGGCAGAACAATGTCTAGACGACTGGAAATGGACCTAGGTGCAGTGGATGACCAAGGCGTCTTAAGTGCCCTGCCTTGCTTGAAGCTCTCCACAGAGCCTGCTGGTAAGTGCCTTCTTGTCCGTTGAACCAATAAGAGGTTTCATCCGCACTGCACAATCCGCCAAATCCAGTCATTGCATGCAGAGTAGGCACACCAGGGCTAATCAACTGGTGGCCCGCGGGCCAAATCTGGCCCCCTGAGGCCTGCCAAGAAAAGCTTTAGAATAATTTCAACTACAGATTTGAAGGCTTTTAATACCCAAAACAATGTAATGTTATTCGTTATTCCTTTTAAAATCCCTCCTGCAAATTATTTTTCTTCGAATGCTAAAAAGTTGTTATCTTCTGTCGATAAAGGTTCTCTGCAGTTAGAACTTGTGGATATGCAAAGTTCCAGCGCACTGAATGAAGATTTTAAAGAAAGTGGTACAGTCAAGTTTTGGACCGAAATGATTCAACAGGAGCAGTTCCCTAATGCTAGAAAGGTTGCCGTATTCATACTCACCATGTCTGGTTCAATTTTCACTTGTGAATCAAGCTTTTCACATATGAACGTCAACAAGAAAAACAGTCGGAGCTCACTGAACAAATACAGGTTGCAGGATTGCATGATTCACACCAGCCTAATGTTTTAAAATTAGCTCAAAGCGGAAATGCAACTTTTCCTATTAATTACATTTTGCATGGTTGTAACTTTCGTTTTCTTCTGCACAAAGCCAAATGAAACGAACAGTGGACAGTTATTTTTATTATTAATATGACAATGCAATTGAAGTGACAATGCAAACGTTTATTTATAATATCTACGGCAAGTTGGAAATACGTGTATTTTAATTAAAAGCGAGTATTAATTCATCATTACAAAATGCTGTAGTACACTTTAAATTATAATGGTTTACAACACTGTTTCATTTATATTACCGTAGGCTAGGCCTTATATTTAACAGTTTTAGAGTGTATTAAATTTAGCTTTGAAAATTTCCCAAATGTAGTGTGTTAATTATCTTTTCCCGCTTGCGCTCGGGCCACTGGCCTGTGACGATCCCCATTTTCTACATTTTGGCCCATGAGCAAACTTAGTCGAATAGCCCTGTAATACACTAATACACATAACAAACAAAAAGTCTAATAGTCTTAGTCGAATAGCCCTGTAATACACTAATACACATAACTAACAAAAAGTCTAAACTGAAGTAAAAAAAATTTAAACACGTAACAGTGTATGTATTAACAAACAACTTGACAGTGTAACAGAAAAATACTGTCTTTTGCAAAACAAAAAAATACAAACTAAAGTGATATTAACCTCAGTCAAATCTAGATGCAGTTACACCCTCCATCTACTACTGAGAACACAAACTTCACTTACTGAAAACTGCCAGGGTGATGGGTCTTGGTTTGGGCAACGTCTAAGAGCAAATTTCCACACTCCGAAACCTGACAGTCCCGTTACAAACCAACATTTCTCCACTGTATACAGCCCTGTATAAAGCATAGCCAATCATGGTGACTGATAGTTAGTATGAAACATGATGTCGTGTGTTATTACAGTCACGGAGACCGACATGGCCAGCAAAACATTACAGAGTAAAGCACCCTTATTGTGCCAGTCCACTGGGCATTTGATGCTATTACATTTTTGAAAACAATAAGCACCTGGTGGGTGAAGAGGCCAACATCAATTCAGCCACCTTTACTTCCGACGGCAACACCTGGTACCCAGTTTAAGCTTGATCTAACTTGGAATCAAGATCAATTTTGATGAAAACACATGTGCACTGATCTGGATTAAAACTTGAGACCTGCAGGCTGCCATCAAGTGTCCAGCCATGAGATACTGCATCTCCCCCAGCAAGTGTCCAGCCATGAGATACTGCATCTCCCTCAGCAAGTGTCTAGCCATGTGATACTGCAGCTCCCCCAGCAAGTGTCTAGCCATGTGATACTGAAGCTCCCCCAGCAAATGTCCAGCCATGAGATACTGCATCTCCCTCAGCAAGTGTCTAGCCATGTGATACTGCATCTCCCCCAGCAAGTGTCTAGCCATGAGATACTGCATCTCCCCCAGCAAGTGTCTAGCCATACGATACTGCATCTCCCCCAGCAAGTGTCCAGCCATGAGATAATGCAGCTCCCCCAGCAAGTGTCCATCCATGAGATACTGCATCACCCCCAGCAAGTGTCTAGCCATGAGATACTTAAGCTCCCCCAACAAGTGTCTAGCCATGAGATACTGCATCTCCCCCAGCAAGTGTCCAGCCATGAGATACTGCATCTCCCCCAGCAAGTGTCCAGCCATGAGATACTGCATCTCCCCCAGCAAGTGTCCAGCCATGAGATACTGCATCTCCCCCAGCAAGTGTTTAGCCATGTGATACTGCATCTCCCCCAGCAAGTGTCTAGCCATGAGATACTGCATCTCCCCCAGCAAGTGTCTAGCCATGAGATACTGCATCTCCCCCAGCAAGTGTCTAGCCATGAGATACTGCATCTCCCCCAGCAAATGTCTAGCCATGAGATACTGCTGCTCCCCCAGCAAATGTCCAGCCATGAGATACTGCATCTCCCCCAGCAAATGTCTAGCCATGAGATGCTGCAGCTTCCCCAGCAAATGTCTAGCCATGAGATACTGGAGCTCCCCCAGCAAATGTCTAGCCATGAGATACTGCTGCTCCTCCAGCAAATGTCTAGCCATGAGATACTGCATCTCCCCCAGCAAGTGTCTAGCCATGAGATACTGCTGCTCCCCCAGGCAAATGTCTAGCCATGAGATACTGCTGCTCCCCCAGCAAGTGTCTAGCCATGAGATACTGCATCTCCCCCAGCAAGTGTCTAGCCATGAGATACTGCATCTCCCCCAGCAAGTGTCTAGCCATGAGATACTGCATCTCCCCCAGCAAGTGTCTAGCCATGAGATACTGCATCTCCCCCAGCAAGTGTCCAGCCATGAGATACTGCAGCTCCCCCAGCAAGTGTCCAGCAATGAGATACTGCATCTCCCCCAGCAAGTGTCTAGCCATGAGATAATGCAGCTCCACCAGCAAGTGTCCATCAATGAGATACTGCATCTCCCCCAGCAAGTGTCTAGCCATGAGATACTGCATCTCCCCCAGCAAGTGTCTAGCCATGAGATACTGCATCTCCCCCAACAAGTGTCTAGCCATGAGATACTGCATCTCCCCCAGCAAGTGTCTAGCCATGTGATACTGCAGCTCTCCCAGCAAGTCTCTAGCCATGAGATACTGCATCTCCCCCAGCAAGTGTCTAGCCATACGATACTGCATCTCCCCCAGCAAGTGTCCAGCCATGAGATACTGCAGCTCCCCCAGCAAGTGTCCAGCAATGAGATACTGCATCTCCCCCAGCAAGTGTCTAGCCATGAGATACTGCATCTCCCCCAGCAAGTGTCTAGCCATACAATACTGCATCTCCCCCAACAAGTGTCCAGCCATGAGATACTGCAGCTCCCCCAGCAAGTGTCCAGCCATGAGATACTGCAGCTCGGTCAGTAAATGTCTAGCCAGGAGATACTGCATCTCCCCCAGCAAGTGTCTAGCCATGAGATACTGCAGCTCTGCCAGCAAATGTCTAGCCAGGAGATACTGAAGCTTTCCCCAGAAAGTGTCCAGCCATGAGATACTGCAGCTCCCCCAGCGAGTGTCCAGCCATGAGATACTGCAGCTTGGTGAGTAAATGTCTAGCCAGGAGATACTGGAGCTCCCCCAGCGAGTGTCCAGCCATGAGATACGTCATCTCCCCCAGCAAGTGTCTAGCCATGAGATACTGCAGCTCTGCCAGCAAATGTCTAGCCAGGAGATACTGAAGCTTCCCCCAGAAAGTGTCCAGCCATGAGATACTGCAGCTCCCCCAGCAAGTGTCTAGCCATGAGATACTGCAGCTCGGTCAGTAAATGTCTAGCCAGGAGATACTGCAGCTCCCCCAGCGAGTGTCCAGCCATGAGATACTGCAGCTCCGCCAGCAAATGTCTAGTCATGCAATACTGCAGTTACCCATGAAAAATATGACATATTTTTTATGACATCAGCTTAGATAATAGCAAAATAGAAGTATCAGTGTCATCAAAGGTGGGGATTATGGATCATTTGTACATTTTAAGTTAATGGCATTTTCAGGGGAAAGTGAAGAAATTCAATCATCTAGGCACATATCCAACTTGAGACAAAAGACAGTAGGCACATATCCAACTTGAGACAAAAGACAGTAGGCACATATCCAACTTGAGACAAAAGACAGTAGGCACATATCCAACTTGAGACAAAAGACAGAAATATCTCCAATTAATTACGTTATAAATTAGAATCAGACAAGCAATCATTTTTTTTTTAAATAAATGAAGAAGATTTTTACTGGAGGTCAGACACACACACACACACATACAGACACACACACAAACCACCACCTCCAATTGTTCACATAAGGTTTTGTATCTTGGATAATTAGTTTAAAACAACAACAAAAATCCTGAGACATCAAAGTTGTTTCTAAAAACGAACAAAGGACTACAAATCATACCATCATATCTGTAACCTTCTTCAGGAGCAAATGGACTCTGCAATTTGTAACCCCGAATGACTCGCACAGGATTTTTAGTTTCCACATTTTTACTCAAGGCTAGGTTTCCTCTGGTCAAAGTTTGATCTCTTGACTGTGGGGCTGTACGCAGGTTCTACGGGATCATATTAAAGAACATTAGTTTATGTACAAAGTAATACTGTATGTAAAAAGTAAACTATTATTAAACTGAAAACTCATGAGGGATTCATCTAAGAAGACGAGTTTTTTAAGCTAATAAAAATGTATTACCAAGACTTGTCACCGTGTAATGAAAACATCTGGAAATAATAGCAGAAGGCATTGTACCATAAAAAGAGGGACAGGGGATGACCAGCACAAATACGGGCATAGGATCTAATTGACCCCTTGGGTAGGAAAGTGTACAAGGCGGGAGAGCTGGCAAGAGACTGAGTATCTTTCAGGCAGACCGTGATAAAAGCAACATTCTGCAAAGGACCTGCTACACGATGAGGGGACTGACTGGTTGATGGAAAAGAATCAAAGGCTTTTTACAGTAAAACTAAAGTAATGAGAAATAATCAGAAAACAGAACATCCAGTTATCCTAAATGATGAAGCAACAGAAGTTTAAGAATGTATATACCTTGGAAGTTAAATTACTCCAGCTGCAGTTTTTGAAAATGGATGTAAAATCAAGAATAAACAAAACAAACCAAACATTAGCCATGCTTAACAAACAAAAATATACTAAAATCAAAGGGACTTAGTTTGAAGACAAAACTCAACTTGACAAGAGCAATATTTAGGCAGACTTTTATACAACAGTGAGAGTCAGAAATGACAGCAGAAATGACACATAAACCAGGGACTCCTCAAAATAAACATCCAGGGAGAATCTTGCAAATATTGTTGCCAAACAAGATCACAAACAAAGAAATGAGAAGGAAAATGACATGTTCGTCACTCGCAAACGTTATCAAAGGAAGAACATGCAGATGGCTTGGATATGTTTACAGAATACTACGCTGTTTTGTGAAGATTTGGCAGATGTTGGATGGCAGATAGAAAAAGGAGAGTGGATGACCTAAGGAAATGTGGAGAAGGATAGTAGAAAGGGAAATAAGGGAACATAAAATAACAAAAAATACCACAGGCAGATAGGCAGCAGACTGGCAGCAATGGATAACCTTGTGAATGCCTTATGAGACGCAACACGAACAGGATATAGAACAATCCATTAGAACATCTGACAGTTTACAGTCTTTGACCTTACTTCTTCACAGATTCTAACCTTTGGATTTGACTTTGTGCCCTTTAAATCTCGACCACCTGAAAATAAACACAATGAAAATGTTCAGCTACAGACATCTTTCCTCAAAACTTATCCCACATCTAATGTAATAGTTCTTTACTTACAGAAACATCTCTTCATACAAATCAAAATGTAGCAGGGACAATCAGCAACCAAAAATGTCATATCTGTGGACATGTAGTTTTGCAAGAAGAAACAAAATGCCACGCACGATAGAATAAGACATCTCTGTGTGATAGTCACATCAACTGTTTGACACTGTACAAACCTTCTCCTGTGTACGTAAAACAATCACCCAAGTCTATGTCATCTTCATATCCTCCAGAAAGTGCAATCGAATAAGCTCCATCTTCACCTCCATGGATGCCTGCAACCGTTGGCCTGAGGAGGTCACAGCAACAAAATATAACCACACTGTACAAAATAGATGCAAATTCACCTGACATTTTATCTTTGAAAAGATATTAAACAATCAAATGAGATACAGCTTCAGTCAGCTTTACAATATCGCAAACACAAACAACAAGTAAACGTTGCAGTTAGAGAATCTTCATCAGCAAGAAAATAAATCTACAATACCACATGTACGAACAAAGTCCCTCAATTGAAATATCTCCAACAGAAATCACTTTCCTGTCTGGCTAGCAGAATGACTAGTCCGTGGCCACCATGAATAAATACAGGCCAGAAACAAAAAAGTCGTGAGAGTTACCGGAGAAATTATTATGCAGATAGGCACTGTGGAAGGTTCACAATGAACTAATGTGTCATGAGTGGATACCAAGCATCCGTACGTCAAAAGTGAAGGAAATCATGCGGATATACTGTCTGGGAGATGTGGGAGTGCAAGAGAAGGAAAAAGCAGATTTTCTAGCTACAAAAGTGATAGCTACAAAAACACTCCTACTGGGCAAGGGCGACATTCTGAAGAGCATTTATAAACTAATACTGGTAGAAGACACGAGGTTAGATGAAATAACATCTAAGAATGTGTCAACAAGGAAATAAGAGTGGCTCCAGCAAGGATTGTTGTATGACAGGAAGAGAACAACACATGCATAATCCGTGTGCTTTGGGAACAGTAGGCATTAACACCTTAAGACATTTGCTGAGGGAGACGGAGCGTCTATGGGTATGCCCAGTGTGCTATGACATCGACTCTGAAATCAGTAATGAGAGTTGGTAAGAATACTGTGTTTGAGTTTTTTCTTGCTATCTACTGACATGTTGGTTTTTCAGTACTGGTCTCATTTGCCCATAATTTGATTTGCTTTAATACATCTATTGGTAATCTCATCTACATTCCAAATTGTAGTATTTAATTCTTATTCTTCTGCTGAGCTGTAAGCTCTGGTGAAAAGTTTTAGTTATTTGTCAACTTCTGGACACTGATCTTGTTCCAGAACTTGAGTTTTGCATTCACATCCATTTTACAGAGCTAAATTATTTACATGCAGACTGTTGGTTGCTCACCTTTCAAGCAGATGCACTCCAACTATAAAGAAAAACCCTTCATTAGTCACCTTTTATGACATGCTTGTTATGAGGACAGCGGGTCTACCCCCGCCCCTTTTCCGCGAGTGGGACTCTGGAACCCACACAGGGTCAAAACTTGTATGTGTTCTTAGGTGTGATATATTACAGAAGTCATGTGACAAACATAAAAAACACAGAGAATAACTGTAATCAGTAAAACAGGATATAAAACAATCCTGATATATCAGCTTATATTATTATGAACCTGACCTGTGAATGCCATCCCTGCAGCATTCCATGCGTGTTGCCCAGACAGTGCCAACGTCAATACCTGTCAACAAATATGACAATTCAAAACGATTCCATAACAAATCAGTTCAGATAGATAGCATTTCAGGCAGTTTATTTCTTCCGCGCTCACCTTTAAAATAGCAACTTACATACATGTTGTTTTGTTTACAGCTAGGCTGAAATATCTACACCTGGCATCCGTGTCCACCCAGATGAAAATGGGTAGCATTGATCTGTACTGAGAAGTAACTGTGGCCAGTGTAACAGCTACCACATCATCCATCAAGTACCAAAACTATTGCTCCCACTACCACCACCATCTTCACAGCAACCACACACACACAAAAAGTCACCACTGTCTGTGCAGGTCAGTGTAGCCAGAGGAGTTAGTGCCGCACACTGTCGCCACAGGCTGTTTAGTTTAATTGTGCCCTCAACATTAAAAACAAAAACAAAACTCCTATCACCTAACCAGTGATGGAAACCACAGTAATATTCCGTGATTTAAAAAAAAGTACACTATACTCACAAATAGCAGAAATAAAAACCCACACCCATTATCTCTCCCTCTCCGAAGGGAGGATTTTCATTTGACCTTGGCATCCGTGTCGACCCAAACTAAACTGGACTGTAAGCTGTATTAATTAACAGTTTCTGTCATCAACGAATATTTCTTGATCGAGTGAAGCGTCGCGGAGAGGCTAAGTGGGACTTTACTGAAATCGGATATCTTGGGGTGAAAGGCGCAGATATCGCAGTCTAGCTGTAAACCACAACACAAAAAAACATTAACACCCAGCAGGGAATTGAACACTGGTCACCCGCGTGAAGGGCTGAATACTTTCAACTATACTACCGAAGACTCTAGAATTTGGTAGAAGGGAAATTATATAATAATGCGAAGTTCAGTGTTATACACTGTGTCGATGTATTTGTTCACCATCAAATACTGTGTGAGCCTACGTGCCATACCTGAGAAGAATATCTTGCCCTCAACGTTCAACAGTGACGCGGGTCTGAATTGGGATAGATAGGAGGAGTCTTGCTTCTTGGGAATGTAGACTCCGTTGGCTCTCTGCCACTCCGTAAACATGTGCTTTCGGCTCCACGCTTATCTAAGGGGGACATCACTTTAAACAGTACCTTCCGGAACTCTGGCTACTTTAGGCCTCTGGTGATTTCTGGGTTGTCATCGGGAGGTTCATTCCTTGTCCGATCAGAGAACATCTTCAGTAGATGTGACTCCAGCTCCTCTTTACCGACTACCAGAGTCCCAGATTTTAGTTGATCGAACAGGCCTCGGGCAAACTGGACGGGTCCCTAAAGAACTTTTCTCGCTCCCTTTTGGTTCTGTCTGTTCTTACAGAAACACTCAGCGCGACAGAGGGCACTGTGTCAGCTCTTCAGGTGCAGCCAGACCTCGTACAGTCCTTCCCGTTCGCTGCCTGTAATAGCTTTGAGACGTTTTCTGAGTGTGTTTTTGTCTGCTCTGCACTGCTCAATGTCTCTCTGCCTCCTGCTTTTTTCTGCGTGACGCCCAGCTGCGTCTTCTTGACTGTCCCGAAACTTCAGGCACAGTAAGTATAAATTATATCACCAAACCGTTTTAGCTTGACACCTACAAACTTTTTCTCAAGTTTACCATTAATTTTCTCACAAAGTATACCCTCCAGCTTGGAGTACCCACGACACCCTATCACTTGCGGGTGGAAACCTGATCTTCGTCTGCACTTTGTCGGATATCAGCAAGAGTGCGCCTCCATGATAGACGTCTTAGGCCTCTCCAGGCGAGTGGGCTTCACCCTGCTCGTCGTTCCATGACTATTCATTAACTACAGGAGTAGCTATGTGCTGACGCTTACTGAAGAATAAAGCAAACTTAATAGAAGCAAAAACCATAACTTTCAATTCCAGGTTTCTCAGCAGCTCTGTGTGTGGGTGAGATTTTTTACAGATCCAGTGAAAATATACATAATTCACCTCTTCTTTGTTATTATATACAACACAATTACACCCTTCCCACCTTCCAAGCCAGTTTTTTTACATGATTTTTACATACTTTGTGGTGATTACATTTTTGCTGTGAGATGTGTTTACTGAGGGTAGTGTTTCTATCCACTATGTCCTATTCATTTAGCTTTTCACTCAGGTATGGCCACTGCATTACACGCAGTATCCCTGCAGCCTACACAAGCTATACCCTGCAGCCTACACAAGCCATACCCTGCAGCCTACACAAGCTATACCCTGCAGCCTACACAAGCCATACCTGGCAGCCTACACAAGCTATACCCTGCAGCCTACACAAGCTATACCCTGCAGCCTACACAAGCTATACCCTGCAGCCTACACAAGCTATACCCTGCAGCCTACACAAGCTATACCCTGCAGCCTACACAAGCTATACCCTGCAGCCTACACAAGCTATACCCTGCAGCCTACACAAGCTATACCCTGCAGCCTACACAAGCTATACCCTACAGACTACACAAGCTATACCCTGCAGCCTACACAAGCTATACCCTGCAGCCTACACAAGCTATACCCTACAGACTACACAAGCTATACCCTGCAGCCTACACAAGCTATACTCTGCAGACTACACAAGCTATACTCTGCAGACTACACAAGCTATACCCTGCAGCCTACACAAGCTAAACCCTGCAGCCTACACAAGCTATACCCTGCAGCCTACACAAGCCATACTCTGCAGCCTACACAAGCCATACCCTGCAGCCTACACAGGCCATACTCTGCAGCCTACACAAGCTATACCCTACAGACTACACAAGCCATACTCTGCAGCCTACACAAGCTATACCCTGCAGCCTACACAAGCTATACCCTGCAGCCTACACAAGCTATACCCTGCAGCCTACACAAGCTATACCCTGCAGCCTACACAAGCTATACCCTACAGACTACACAAGCTATACCCTGCAGCCTACACAAGCTATACCCTGCAGCCTACACAAGCTATACCCTGCAGCCTACACAAGCTATACCCTGCAGCCTACACAAGCTATACCCTGCAGCCTACACAAGCTATACCCTGCAGCCTACACAAGCCATACTCTGCAGCCTACACAAGCCATACCCTGCAGCCTACACAAGCCATACTCTGCAGCCTACACAAGCTATACCCTACAGACTTCACAAGCCATACTCTGCAGCCTACACAAGCTATACCCTGCAGCCTACACAAGCTATACCCTGCAGCCTACACAAGCTATACCCTGCAGCCTACACAAGCTATACCCTGCAGCCTACACAAGCTATACCCTACAGACTACACAAGCTATACCCTGCAGCCTACACAAGCTATACCCTGCAGCCTACACAAGCTATACCCTGCAGCCTACACAAGCTATACCCTGCAGCCTACACAAGCTATACAGACAACAGAAGCTATTTAGTTCCTAACTTTTGCAAAAGATGTGACTTATAACTGACAGTGAGCTTTATCACTCTCTATTATAAACACTGACAGGTTCTACTATCATGACTATGACAAACTGTCAATGGTTCTTCAGACGCTGGCACTGTTCATGAACATCACTAGCAATCCAACATTTAACACGTACCTGATACAGCTCCATAAAAATGTGGCCTATTGCTTGGCACTTTCGTCACTTGCTTCTCATCACTACATGCACCCAGTTCTTCATAGGACACTCTATTATCTGATGACTAAGCAATAACAACAAAATTATACTGCTCAAGAATAAATATAGAACAGCAAAGAAACAGTGAGGCAAACTAAAATGTATATGTTTGATATAACTGTGGCTGGGGGGATGCATGCCTTTCATGTGGGACCTTGAAAAGGGATCAAACTCACAACCAGATGGAAAGTACGCAGAACTTCTGGCTCTTGTATATGCTTAGTGAACCTGCACGGCGTACAGCCTGCAAACTAAATAAAGCCAATCACATTCATCTAGACGGCCCAATCAATAATAATAATAATTTGTAAAACTTCACAATGAAGACTGGCTGAAATCTCAAATGCTGTCTGACTCCATGATGGTTGTACATGTGACCAGACTTCTGTCTGTGCATCTCTTGATTTGTATCTTCCTACTTATACCACTGTCTACCTCCTGCTCACCCCTCCAACTTCATTCAAGTATGCCTTTTTGTTTAGAGTGGGAAGTCTTTTAATGTGATACAAATATTTCACTGTTTATTTCTTTCATAGCTCTATCTTCATGAGTCTGTACAGAACTTGTATTTGTTTGTTTCTGTTTCCATGAAACATGATATCTAGGCTGCCTAAAGAAACTGAATACAAAATGACAACACAAAAACACAGACATCAATAGCTGATAACACAAGCATCCATAATATACCACACAGATCAGATGACCGTATTTTCTGCATGCCAAATGTGCAGGCACACAAAACAAACATACAGCAGTCTTGTTTTAGACAATCTAGCTGAGGCAGACATGACAAATAGGCACATAGTCTCTAGTCGAGGTTTCAATTCACTGCAAAGAAGTCACTTTATGACTGCTCTTGTCCTGTGCTAGTAAAAATCATACAATTCCCCTCACTGTACTCGGAAAGCCTCAAAATGATGTATTATCTTAGAAAACAGAGCTCTGCTGCTTGGGAAAGATTAAACAGCATTTCACAAACTGCTATATAAGAGAGATCGAGCCATGTGGAATAAAACCTAGTGCAATAAAGCTCGATTTTGTAGTAGTTCTAGTAGTAGTAGTAGTAGTAGTAGTAGTAGTAGTAGTAGTAGTAGTAGTAGTAGTAATAGTAGTAGTACTAATAATAGCAGCCTTATTTAGACTTTGCAACATATGCAAATGAGCAAATGAATGGCTACACTGAAACTATTTCCTATTCCTTTTGAGAAAAAAAATGAAAAGCTCGACCACGTTCTGACTGCTGCCTATATTTGTGGTCTGGGTTACGTCACTTTCGTGACTGAATTCTAGTGTTTGTGCCATTTCTGGGCTTGATGCCTCCATCCGAATTAAACCGCTCGTCTTCCACCCTGTTGTTACTTGTGCATGTCTTCCCTCGTCTTACTTAGTGTTTCCAGTTTGCGTTGTTTCCATTTGATTTAGCCTACACTGAAACCACGGCCGGCTCCAGATAAATATCTGCAGCTGGCCGTGTCTGAAGCGAAGTGATTGAAACTACATGCCACTAGAACCGGACACTGGGCTATGAAACACTAGGTGACTCTAAGTGCAGTGCGTCATTACTCTCATGAGAATCCCCAAGGTCAAGTCTCCAAAACCCCGTTCAACCATAAGGTTATATTAGGGCCCCACGATGGTTACAAAGTAACAGAATGCTCAGCTGGGATGGGGGATGTAATGGCAACAAATTGTCTCCCATGAGGGGCGGGTCGGGAATCACTGAAACTTAAGTGTGCCGTGTTCTTTTTCATGCAAGGTTATTAGAGTAAGCTCCGTTTACTTTAACTCAGTAACTGTCACGAAGCCAAATAATAATATACTAGATCATTTTAAATATTCACATTAGATAAATTAGAATTTGATTTCTGCAATATAATGAATAAATAATCTGTACAGTGTTAAACAACCAAGAGTATCTGAGATATATACAAATTAAAAATATATACCAATTAAAACCCAGAAAGTTTGAACAGGAGACCTTTGAGTAAAGTTCTTGAGGCTAATACTGCTGCCGATCATTCTGCGGGCCGGTGTCAGCACTTATGAAACAAGGACTCTATAAAACAGCATGATCCCCAGCTGATACAAATTGAGGACACTTTTGCCGTCATTGAAACAGACACTGTCAGGATTAGATAAGATTGAACAGGCCAGCTGTGAATCCACACCAGAGTGAACAAATGCCAAATGGTCGTCTCAAACAATGATGAACAAACACCAGAATGGCACACCAATGTTGTCCTGCTATGACTATGAGGAAACAAACAGTTGACTGCTTCACATATCTCAAGGTATAGCACAAAAAGTATTATTAGAGAGTTTACAACAACATGTAATAAAGATTGGCTATCCGCCGAATAACGGGCACAAAAGATGGCAGCCGCAAAAACACCCTAACAGAGCCTTAGTCACGTGTCAATTGCGCGCTTCCGGCGACTTAATTTGAAGTTTCCTGGCAACTACCACCACTGAGAGTATCCCCCAGGCTGCTCACGTGGATAATGAACTGTATATGGAGGGAAGTAATATAGAATTAAGTAAACTCTTATATAATAACTTAATTTCTTAAATAAAAGACTTTACCTGTTCCAATCGAGCAGACTTTCGCCTTGTGCCGTACAATGACCCTCCAATAAAATCACAGTCAGTTACTGGCAACTTCCTCTTTAAATTTGTTGATTTAAGCACAGGTTTCTTGTTTTGTTTGATGATACGTGGTAAAGACTTGAACTATAAATGTTTGAAAGATAAATATGAAAATGTTGAATAGATACAATGCTTCAAATATTGTATGATGTTATTAACAGCATGAATACATTAGCTAAAATGATGATAATTAAACATTAAAGCTACAGTTGTCACAGCTTAGCTGTAAACCACACAGAAAGTAAAAAGTAAAGGATCTTGTTCTACATCTTCAGGCATATTGCCAACATAGGTTGGTGGCTGATGTGGTCAACTACATGCCAGCCACCTTTACCTGGCAGGACTCCACCTGGATACATTCAAGGTTAGCTTGACCTGGCAGGACTCCACCTGGACACATTCAAGGTTAGCTTTACCTGGCAGGACTCCACCTGAACACATTCAAGGTTAGCTTTACCTGGCAGGACTCCACCTGAACACATTCAAGGTTAGCTTAACCTGCCAGGACTCCACCTGAACACATTCAAGGTTAGCATTACCTGGCAGGACTCCACCTGGACACATTCAAGGTTAGCTTGACCTGGCAGGACTCCACCTGGACACATTCAAGGTTAGCTTTACCTGGCAGGACTCCACCTGGACACATTCAAGGTTAGCTTGACCTGGCAGGACTCCACCTGGACACATTCAAGGTTAGCTTAACCTGGCAGGACTCCACCTGAACACATTCAAGGTTAGCTTTACCTGGCAGGACTCCACCTGAACACATTCAAGGTTAGCTTTACCTGGCAGGACTCCACCTGAACACATTCAAGGTTAGCTTAACCTGGCAGTCAGTCTTTTAAAAAAATGCTGGCTCTATCAGGACCTGAACCCATGACATCTGATCCACAGGCAAACATCTAGCCGCTACAAAAGAAAGTACCAGCCACCTTTTGGGGGCAAACACTGAAGAAGATGACAACAGCGAAAGTCGGCAATCACTGGACATACAAAACACACATTTAACAGATGAAACATTGAACTGACAACACACAAGTTTCAACTCAATCAGGCTTGCATGCAGCTTAAGATACTGATTCAAAACAGTGGATACACTACATGTATACATACAGATGGGTTTGCAGTGAACCCTTGAGGACGACTGGGCCAATCTGTCAGCCCACAAGCAAAATGGCAAAAAGACAGCTGCGCTGATCTATCGTCTTGGTTATACAAGCTTTGAGACTGGCTGGTCGGTCTTCATACCAGCCAATCAGATTGCTTCTCTATTTCTTGCACAAGTGGGCTGTTTAGTGGTGGCTTTTGTGAAAGTTTGCTGTGTTCTGTAATTTTACACTGATTTTTATATTTGTATTATTGTTACCAGTGCCCAATAAAATATAGCAGGAGGCAGGAGAAGGAGTAGGGAGTAGAACCATGTGCCAAAGGTGTCTGGAGGGGCCTACACTGGCCAAGCTTCCAAACACACAAGTGTTAGCATTTATCCAGGCTTCATTCATCAACAAATTTACCTTGATTGTTAAATTTAATCAAGTTAGTTCTAAACTTGAATCAAGTTAGGGAGTTTAAATATCTAGGAAGTATGATCACAGAAAATGGTAGAATTGAGAGAGAAATAGAAACCAGATGTCAGAAAGCAAGTGCACTTATATACCAATTGTCACCATCACTAAGACATCCAAGCATAACTATGAGTGCAAAGAGACAGATTATTAATAGCATATTCATTCCAACATTAAGCTACCAGTGCCAAACATGGACACTATCTAAAGCCCATATACGCAAAATCACCACCTGTGAGATGAGATGCCTGAGAAAAGCAGCCAACCTAACCATCCGAGATCGAGTGAATAATGAAACTATCAGGCAAATTGTGGGAACGACATCTTGTACTAGTGCTAGATTCATCGAGAAACAGCAGATAAAGTGGTTTGGCCATCTTGTTAGAATGCCGCAAGATTAAATACCATCACAAGCACTACATCTCAGATAATCAGCTACAAGAGCAAGAGGACGGCCGCGGAAAACATGGATTGACAACATTAAACACACTCTACGCCTTCACGGCATGACAATAGCTAGTGGAAGCCAACGTGCACTGGATCGCAAATTATTCCTCCCCACGACGCTTAACGGCAGAAGTGGTTTATGATGATGAGTTCTTAACTGAAAACAAACAAAAAATAATAATTTGATGCATGCATAAATATGCAAATCAGCATAACTAATGTCAATTTGAATAAATATTGGGATGTCATTGACTGTCAGCATGATTCATAAAGACTGTTAGTTCATTCCATTCAATGTCCTACCTACAAGAATAATTAATGTTTTTTTTATAGATGTTAATTAAATGATTTATTTTTTATAATTACGTGTGTGTGCAAATGAAAAGAATCCCCTCATGGGGGCTCAGTATTCTTGGGACAGGAGCCCCCCCCCCTCCCCCCCCCCATCATGTTTTCTTTGTAGCAGGCTGCCCCCAGTAGTGGATAGACACATACAATCCTTGGCATGCAACCTCTGTTGTAACTGTGGGGAGAGCTGCCAAGGGGCTACATGGTTCTGCAGAATGACTGAAACACTCTTTAGTGCATGCGAGATTGACAGATAATAGCGAAGTGAATGCAACGTTTGAGACTGAAATAATTATAATATGATGTATACTTGGATAACTAACTAATAATGTGCAACACAGCATGGCTCAAACACTTAAACACGCTCCTAGTTTGTACATCATAAATTGGCCGGGTTCATTGTAATCATTGTTCAAATTAATAACATACCGGGTCTAATAATCCAAACGATGCAAGAACTCGGCGATTGTCCTCAAGATTTCTTAATCTAATAATTTCATAATCACACATTGTGACAGATTAACTTGTCAATTTAAATAATCAAATAATGACAACAATATCCTCCAGAACGCCGACGGCAGAAAACTTTCCCAGTAGTCGGGGACGACCAGGTGGGAGTTGTTGTTGCTTAATGTATCGATACTGTTGTCTGTATCGTGCCCATAAAATAATTACCTGAAGAGTTTCGTCAATTATTACAGACTTCAGACTTCTAGCAGACAGACATTAACACACACACACACACACACACACACATCTCTAATACAGGGAAGACGAGAGGAATACTCAGAAACAAAACTAAAATGCCTGATTTTTACCTTAACGACTAGCCATCTTAATACAAAAACCCATCGATTTTTCACTGGCAAGACAAATCTAGACGTCTGGAGATGACCAGTGGATGACCAGTGCTTGCTTCTTTGGTGCCTTGCTGTGCCCAAGGCTCTCCACGGAGCCTGCTGGTGGTAACCTGTTTGTCCGTTGAACCAAGATGGTTTCATCCGCACAGTCAGTATAAATATAATATGATATACTGTGCTACCAGTGCCAAACGGGAGTTATCAGAGGCTAAGCTACGTAGCATTCACACATGTGAAACGACACTTCAGTAAGTGCCTTTGTTACAGGTGCATTTGTTTATAGTGTTATGTCATTTGTACAGTCATTCCGCAACAGCTGATTATTTCGCCAATCAAGAAATGGGGTTGGGGGGGGGGGGGGGGGGGGAGGTGGTATCGTAAAGTTCGCAAATACTATAACTAAAATTAACTATGACGATACCTGCCAACTTTTCCCGCCGTTCTAAGAACGTGGCCAACCTTTTTTCTTTTACTGTGGGAAAACCCCTGGTGCTTTCTTTTTAGCCGACTACAAATGACGTCAAGGGACAGTCCAATGTTTTCGATGGTGGTTTCTGTGCTTTAGTGCGTTTCTTCCAAAGCCAAGGTTTTTGCACGTTTACCTAACCCTAGCTTTAACCCTAACCAAAACTATAAGCTTAATCACGGCCTTCTCTATTTATATATAGAGAGAAGGCCCTGGCTTAATTTACCACCACCTGAAAAATTTACAGGTGACCTGTGGATTTCCCCTTTTTGTGGTCGGCTAATAAGAAAGTACCATCCTCCCCCAACCGAAATGATGCAATTTTTTTTAAATTGACAACAGTTTGGATTCTTTTCTGTTTAGCGACTTATTGGGGAGGGTGGGGGGGGGTGGTGCTAGGGTTAGGTTATATGAATGGTGACTACTACTAACCCTAGCCCTTCACGCGGGTGACTGGTATCCGATTCCCCGGGTGCTGATTTTTCTTTTGCACTTAAAATGGCGGTTGGCACGTTGTTTTGTGGTTTACAGATAGGCTGCGATATCTGCGCCTTTCGTCTCAAAACATCCGATTTCAGCAAAGTGCCAAATTAGATTCAATGGATCAAAAACTATTCGTTGATGACGAAACTGTTAAGACAGCTTAAAGTCTATTTTAGTTTGGGTCGACACGGATACCAAGGTCAATTGAAAATCGTCCCTTCGGAGATAGAGAGATGACGGGTTCGGGTTTTTATTTCCGCTGTTTGTGAGTATAGTGTACTTTTTTGTAGTCACGGAATATTACTGTTGGTTCGATCACCGGCAAGGTTTTTTTTTTTTCCATGTCGGGAGCACAATCAAACTAAACTGCGTGGCGACAGCATGCGACGCTAACTCCTCCGGCTACACCGACCTACAAAGAGAGTAGTGACAGTTTGTTGTTGTTGTTGTTGTTATGAAGGTGGTGTTGGTAGTGGTAGCAGTAGTGCTGGTAATCGATGGATGATATGGTAGCTGTTACACTGGCCACATTTACTTCTCAGTATATACAGTGGACACGAATGCCAAGGTCAATTTAATTACAATATTTCGTCAGATGTTGACTTTCCCATCCTTCGGATAGGACGATATGATTGGGGGGGGGGCAGGGGGGGGGGGGGGGCGGGTTGATGACAGACACTGTTAACTGAGAGTGCTTAACGTTATTTTTAAAGTTCTCATTTCTCAACTATTTATTTTTCAATAATTTCGTCAGGTTATTTTCCAATCTTTCGGAGAGGGAGATATGATTGGGGGAGAAAAGGGGGGGGGGGGTGGTTATGACAGACACTGTTAGCTCAGAGAGCTTAAAACATATTTTACAGTTCTCATGTCTGAAATATTTATATCTGAATACAGATTCCTTTGATATTCTCATTTTTTTAAATTATTTTTTTGTGTGGCGAATTTGTTGGTCAGTTAGAGGTAGAATAGCCTAACTTTGCGATGTTTAAACACAACAGATGCTTTAGGGCTCTCCTTGAAATAACGGTCGCTAGCTGGACGGCGACGGTCGCTTAGTCGGAGTTTACTCCCTTGGCTGCATTGCAAATACGGAGTGGAAAAGTCACGAATCAAAAACAAGGTCAACATGGCAGCTAGACATCGAGCTCCGACTCACATCAGCAACCACGTTCTTGCGACGCACGACTTAGATGCCACGGATGTGAATCCTGCAGATCTGTATGCCTTAGTGACCGATAAGTTTGCGTGGTTAGGGGTAGGGTTAGGGTTAGGGTTAGATATGAAAATTGTGACGGAGGAGTTCCAAATAATCGTACACAGTGACATACACACCCAAACAATTGAAGGACGGTGGATGCTACTCAAACGGACAATTCGCCATCAATTAAGCACCAGCAGCGCGCTATTGCCGTCATATTTAGGAGAATTCCAGTGGCGCCACTCCCACAAGCATAAGATTGTCGGCCCTTATTTGGAACTCCTGCGTCAAAATTTTCACATCTAACCCTAACCCAAACCCTAACGCTAACCCTAACCCTACCCCTAACCCACACCCTACCCCTAACCCACACCCTACCCCTAACCCACACCCTACCCCTAACCCACACCCTACCCCTAACCCACACCCTACACCCTACGCAACCGTATGATGACAGGTAAGTATGTCATTTGTTTCGTTCCCTCTTTACGGTCCGTATTTGCAATGCAGCCAAGGGAGTGAACTCCGACTAAGCGACCGTCGGCTTTCCAGCTAGCGACCGTTATTTAAAGGAGAGCCCATTTATTTATATATTGTATGTTCTACAGTCGGCATACCAGACTATCTCTGTATCTGTGCAGTGCCTGATATTATCCATATTAGATACGTGCTCTTTCCATTTTATTTCTTTTCCTTTTTGACAGACTAATCCACAGCAACGCCTAGCAGGTACAGCTAGTTATATTAATAAAAATGTAAAAATTCTGTTGGCTGTAACAAGTAATCTCTGAAAGTTCTTTACCGATTGATTGAAAATGTTCACACAGCGTTGCATTCAACTGCGCGCGTGTTTTTGAGTAACGGGTGATCCTCATCATGGTAGCACTTTGTGCACTGTATGCTTTTCGCTTTGTGTGATATCCTGGTGGGGTGAAATTAAATTACTTCCAGGACCATGGAGAGATGGTTGTAACAAGATGGCAATAAGGGCTCGATGCACTTAAAAGTATGGCTGCAATGGACCCAGAGCAGAGAATGATTTTAACACTATATCAGTACCTGATCCTTTTAGTGACTAATTATGGCCTAGGACTGCTTACCGTCTTAAAGAGTCAGATAGACAAATGAGCGCATACAGAACAGCTATGCTGCACCAGAGACACCCCATTGGTGTGTACGCGATACATCTTTGGTTTGCCGACTATTGCAGGTAGGCACAAGGTGCTGCGGGCGAAGTCATATCTCAGTTTAGCTGCAGACACAAACCACCCTTTGCACGAAGCTGTGGGCGCAGTTAAGGGTCAGCAGCTGATAAGAGAGAATGCATGGGTGGCTCATACAGAAGACACAATCAGACAGGTCTGCATCCTTGAGAGCATTAGGCGAGGAGAGGAGTGGCTCAAAGTGCCATGTTCACAGTCAGATTTGTGTAGGGTCATAATCACATTGAGCCGGGAATGCAGATAGAATCTTAGCAAAAGTTATTGGTCGACGTTTGATGCAGGAGAGCCTACCAACATCCAACTTAAGAATGGAGGTGGAGGCGGTCACTGCAGCTTTCCGCTGGTTAAAGAACACGACACACACACACACACACACACACACACACACACATCGTGATTATAACTGACTCAGAAAGCATGCTGAGGAAGATCAGAACAGGTGTGCTTCGTACAGAGTGGTATGCCTCACTGCGAAGGACACTGGTAAGGGTTAGTGTCTGGACCTTTTTTTCTTTGTGACACGCCGGCGTGTTGGGAAGTGAACAGGCGGATATACTGGCTAGCTCTGCACAACTTGGTGGAATACTGATGCATGATAAGACAGACGTAGTTAGTGCCTTGTGGTAGAGCGTTTACAGTTCGGAGGAACAGATGGATCACCAGTCTGGTGAGACTGATGCAGGGGAAGTAACGAGAGGTTGTGACAGATGCTCGAGGCTCAGAACAAAGGCTAGATAGAAAGACGTTTTATCATAATGCTACTGGCACCATAGGTATCGTAACTCTTTAGTGGCTGCTAAAGATGTGGACGTAGCGCTTATGGGAATGCTCCGAGTTTTGTGATGCCGGTTATTGAATCAACTCAACTAAACTCTTCAAAAATTGTCCATAGGATGTTTCTGTCTACTCTGTTAACAGCTTTTTTTTCTGGACCTCAACATCATCATGTAGCAGGTCCTTTGCAGAACGTCGCTCTCATCACAGTCTGCCTAAAAGAAACTCGGTCTCTCGCCAGTTTTCCCGCCTCATGCACTTTCATACTCAAGGAGTCACTTATATCCTGCCCCTCCTTCCTGGTACCATGCCTTCTGCTATAATTTTTTCCAATCCGTCGTGGCGCTTGATATGACCAAAATATTTCAGCTTTCGAGAAAGGATGCTGTTTATTAGCCAATCTTCCTTGATGTTCAGATCTTTTAAGATGTCAATATTTCTCCTCCTCTTTGTCCAAGATATTCTGAGAATCTTTCTATATAGCATTTCAGCTCAAAAGTCCC